CAAAGGCGGCTCGTAGAATTAGGAATATAATATGTCACATTAGCTACTTGTTGCAATTGAGAAAAAAAGAGATTGTGGGTTTTATATGCTTGATTTCATTTTTAAATTCTCATTTGAATATGCTTTACATATTATATTTATGTATTTTAATTTTAGATAATAGGTTTTTAAAACATTTATTTTAAAACTTAAGTTTATATTTTTATTAATATTATGTTTTATAATTTTTTGTTTTTTTTGAATTTTTATCTTTTTTTTTTTTTTTAAATTGTGCGCCTTGCCACAAAAGGGTGCGCACCTCGCCTTGCACCTTGCGCCTCAGGTGCAAAATGGCCCTTGCGCCTTTTTTGCGCCTTGCGCTTTTAAAACACTGGCCACCTCATTGAAAAATTCCATGACTATGTACTTATTTTGAATTTTTTATATTTCCACGGCCTAGGAGAATGATAGGACCACTTTGAATTCTGAGAATCTGAGCTGGTTCGAGGGAGCTCACCCTCCTGAAATGGACGAGAGAGAGGAAGAGAGGAAGAAGGGAGAGACGGTAGAAGACTAAAGGATTATTTCATTTCATGCCTCGAATAGATGGGGGGTTACAATTATTTATACTCTCTCTTCAGTCTCTCCTGCACATGGACTAGACTGTGACTGCTAACTAACTGGAGGGATGTGGCCTCCTCACGTAAACTAACCTCAGTGGAGGTTGCACATGGGTGATCCGGTGTTTCTCTTGTGTTGGGCCTGGCTGATGTTTGTCTTGACCTGGGTCTCATGTTGTGGGCCCGAATGGATAGTTGGGGCCTATCAGAGAAGATGCAGTTCTCAGCTAGTTTTTGAGAGAAATTAACTGATTATATTAAAGAACGTCAAAGGTACATGAGATGATGTACAACAGAAAAACCAACAATTGGAGATTACAAGGCAGATTTCTATCACTAAATAAAGCTTCCCTGTGGGTACCCAACTTTGCCAACTGATCTGCCATGGATTTTAACTCTCTGGGAACCCAATAAATCTTTGTAAATAATGAGCCAACCTCCAGGGACCTTCTTCCTTCTCCCCTAACCACTTAACAGTATTAGCAGAATCACCTACAATGGTTAGAGAAGACAAACCCCTTTCTTTTGTTATTCTGAGGCCTGTGAGAGCTGCCAAGATCTCTGCTTTAGTTGAATCAACAATCCCAATTAGACTACTGAAGACCCAGCAAATGCTTCCATCCTTCCTCCGCAAAACACCACCAATCCCTGCAGCTCCAGGATTGCCTAGGGCACTACCATCTAGGTTTAAGCTGAAATTAGTCTCTTCACTTGCAGGAACAAGACTATGCCTGTTAATATAGCCCATAGATGACTGAAGGATCTCCATCACATTCCTCTGAGGATCACCCAAAGAAATTCCTTTAAACTCGCTCACTCTTGGATTATAACATTCCTACATCAATTGGTTTTAGAGTACATAGTCCTACATCAATTTGGTATCAAAGTAATGGGTGCTACTTCATATTGATACTAGTGCAGCAGGCCCTACATCACCTGGTGTGGGGTTGGTCTCTTTTGTATAGCATAAGCTCCATGTCTTCCATCTTTGTGTCTTTTTTTGGCCTAGAAATGAGCAATGCAGTTATACTTTCCATGCATGCATAGTATATTCATACTTTTTATTCATTATTTTTTTGAAGGTAAATAAAAAAGAAAATTTATTAAGATTGAAAGTATCATACAGCACCAGGTGATGAGAAATCACCCCAAACAAAACCAAAACAACAAAGAAAAGAAGATCCCAACAAAAACCAAAAACACCCATGGTATATTCATACTTTTTATTCATTATTTTTTTGAAGGTAAATAAAAAAGAAAATTTATTAAGATTGAAAGGAGCATGCAGCACCAGGTGATGAGAAATCACCCCAAACAAAACCAAACCAACAAAGAAAAGAAGATCCCAACAAAAACCAAAAACACCCAAAGCCACTGAAGAAAGACACCCCCGCCAAACACCCCTTATGAGAGCACCTTAAAACATAACAACCCAGATCTCAACAACCCTCTTGACTGCTTAACCAAGAACTGCATAGAAAAACCACCCAGTTGAAGGATTACCAATACCCCTTATTCTCCCTACTAAGACAAAACTTAGCCTTCCACCACCAATTCCGCCTCCAAAATTAACAGCCCTTATCAAATACCAACCTCTCCTCTTTTTTTTTTTTTTGATAGGCAGGTGTAACTGATTTCTACTAATAAAGGAGGTTGGGCCACCCTTGTTTTGATCAGCAACACAGAAATTATTTCATTAATAATAGAAGGCAGAGTTACAAAAAGAGGTTGTGAAAAAATAAAACAACACAGCTTTAGAAAAGCTGACCCAACCGAAGAATTACGATTGAGCCCAATACAGGTTAGTTTTTTGTACCCCATGCTTAGCTAGACCATCTGCCGGACTGTTGGCAGTTCTCCTAACCCATTTAACTCGGATTGTCATGTCCTTTGAGAGCCATTTAAATTGCCTGGATTCCTCAAATACCATGTCACCCCTCCCCCTTCTTCAGCCAGTTCACAACAGTTCTTGAGTCACCCTCAAATGCCATACCCAAATCTTTAGCCTTCTCAACCCTATATACTGCAACCAATAGCTCTGATCTAGCTACACCACCTTGTTCAGCAGGTCTCGAGTATAAAGCTATGATGTTTCCTTTCTCATCCCTAATGACCCACCAATCCCCCCTATGCCTGAGGGGCCAGGATTGCCCACACAACTCCCATCAAAATTCAATTTCTTCCAGCCACATATTGGGGGTGACCACTTCTCAACAGATTTCTGTCTTCTAGATGATGAGGCAGCAATAACACCCCGGGCCCTAGAAAAGTCCTCAACCTCAAAATCTGAAAAAGTTTCAGACATTTGCCCAATGTGCCACTCTTAGAGTTATTTCTACCAAGGCTTCTTTGCTTTTTTCTCTTTCTTCATATATTCTTGAGTTTCTTTCTTCCCAAACTGTTCAAAGCAACACTGTTCTAGTACATCTCCCCAAAATCCTGCCTCTCCTTTTAGTACAGCTAAAAACAGTAGTGCTAAACAATCCTTCCAAATTGTCAGGAGAAGACCATCTGCATTCAAAGAGAGAAGAAAACCAATTCCAAATAAAGCTAACAAAAGGACATGGGGTTAAAAGATGAAAGGCAGTCTCACCATTTAACTTACACAAGAAGCACCAACTGGGGGACAAACACCAAGTTGGTCTTTTTCTTTGAAGCAAGTCAAAGGTATTAATACAGCCATGAAACACTCCCCAACAGAAAGCACCGATTTTTGGGGGGATGGGAAAGCACCAAATATCCTTGACTGAGAAAGAAGGAGAAGGGGAGGTGCCTAACAGGGAATTAAAAAAAAAGATTTACAAGATAACAAACCATTAGGATTAAGGCCCCAAACCCTAGAATCCAAGCCACCTTCTCCCAGGACCACTGAATTCAGCAAGCCTTACAACTCAGACACACTAGTAATTTCAGATTCTCTAAGGTTCCTGTTAAAACCTAAGTTCTAGTTCAGCCTTGAAGGATGAGGGTGCTTGCCTAAGAAATCAGATATAGGTCTACCCTTAAGATTGGAAAGAGAAAAAATAGAAGGAAAGCTCTCACCTAGAGGGATATCCCCAACCCACACATCCTTCCAAAACCTAACTTTCTGACCTTAAGCCAAATCAACCTGATATGATCGAGGAAAGTAGGAAGAATCTCGTGGATGGCCTTCCAAGGAACAAACAGAGTAGCTCTATGGAGACAACCAGCATCACATCCATTGCTTGACATGCCATGAATGCTTGCAACAACTTTGTGCCATAACCTCTTATACCCTTTGGGGAACCTCCAAAGCCATTTACTAAGCAAAACCAGATTTTTCAACTTGACATTACCAATTCCCAAGCCCCCTTCTGCTTTTAATTTCACCACCTTCTCCCACTTAATCAAATGATCCTTCTTTCTTTCCCCCGACTCCCAAAGAAAATCCCTCATGATTGTTTCAATTTTCCTCACCATCTCTTTGGGCATCCTAAATACTGACATGTAGTACACAGGAAGGTTTGCAAGGGTGGACTTAATGAGTTAATTTCCCCCCTCCCCCCGACAAAATTCCTCCCCCCCCCAATGAAATACCAACCTCTCCTCTCTCCAATTCCAAAAAAGATTTCCTAGCAAAATCTTCTCTGCCCAGACAGGAAAGACCCATGATTTTACTAACTCAAACATCTTTTTGTACCTCTCTTTCCAGCTTAATCTTCTTCTCAGCCTGCCACATTTGATGAAGGATAATCATCATCACTCTCTTGTGGCTCTGTTCCCTCATCCTCCTTATTGGAATCTTTTCTTTCAGGAAATAAGGCTGAATCCTGAGAAACCACTTCAGAGTTCAGAAGAATCAACTTCCCCCATCATCGAAAGGTCTATAACTTCTTTGTCTGTATAACCATCCACCTTCCCCTTAAATGTGACCTGCTTTAGGTTTAACCCTCTTCCTCTTATACAACCTCTTGAATTTATCACTTGGCCCTGTTCCACAAATTCCTTCAATCTAGAAAAAACTTTAGTCACACGTACCAGATTCCCTGTGTCTTCTCATGTTATTTATTTATTTATTTGCATATAATACATTTTTCATAATGACCTCTTCTGGGAGCAACATTGGGTAATGACCTTTTTTATTACCTCTTGTCAAAAAAGGAAAAAAAAAGAGTTGGTGTAAATTGAATTTCACTTTAGTTCTCACAGCAGTTTGTGTATGTGCTTATCTGTTGACAGATTGACTGTGTACTGTTTTGTGTTCTTGATATTTATAATATAATGGCTTTATGTATGGTTGTTTTTTTTGGTATCAATTATAACTTCATATCCTTTTGGATATTTTTCTGACGTACACACCACATTTCTAATTTAATCACTTATCACTATAATTCTTTGACGCTTCTTATGGCTTTGGCTTCTAATGTTGTTATTTCTCAGGCAATAGAAAACGATAACATGGATATGGAGATTGACTTGTCCAGTCTGGGAACTGTCAATACGATGTTTGCAGCACTATTTAGGTGACACATGGTTAAAGATTAGAAGCTTTTGTTTTTCTTTAAGCTTTTATATAGTCACTGATTCTATATTTGTTTAGTAAGCTGGGCGTCCCCATCAAGACTACAATTTCTGCTAACGTCCTTGAAGATGCTCTAAATGGAACTGTCACAGTTAGACCTCTTCCCATTGGAACAGCAGTCAGCGGAAAGGTGCTTATCTTATATTTTTGGTATATAGCTGATCTTTTTCGAAAACTTGCGTTATTTCTTTTGAATGCAGGTAGACAAACAATGTGCCCATTTCTTTGGTGTAACTATCAATGAAGAACAAGCACAGACAGGGATTGTAGTTAGAGTTACTTCATCTGCACAGAGCAAATTCAAGGTAATATTTTTGGGTAAGGGCTTTCATTAAAGCACCTGGTCCACATGTTGCCATCCATTGTTCTGGTTCTTACATATTGTTGTTTAACTTTATTTATTTTTTTAATTATTGATTTTAAAACTTGTATCTGCAATATGTATTTTTTTTCCAGCTACTATATTTTGAGCAAGAAGCCAATGGTGGTTATGGGTTGGCTTTACAGGTACAATACTTTTTTTGTTGCCTTTCCATTTGAACTTCTCATTGTTTATTCATTACTAGTTCTTATAGGATGCAAGCTACATAAACAAGAGTACAACTGTGTGTGTGTATTCTTCATCATCATTGGCCATTTGGAGTTGGCTATGTTAACCATGTATGCATTAGCCCATCTCTTCCAAGATTCAAAATTTCGATATGATATGCCCAATATCAGGCATATCATATTGTATCAGGAGCTCTCTGATACTCCAAATAGGGAGTGTCTTGGATTTTGAGCACTTTCAGGGGGTTGGCATGCCTAAAACCGACCTGAAACAATTTTGAAAAAAATGAAAAAAAGTTATCAAGTATCAAAACACCTGATATGCCTGTTTGTGCATACCGGGTGTATCTATACTTTAGACCTTGATCTCTTCCATTAAAGATGAAATAAATTCTTCCTTATTTTTTATAATAGCTAATATGAGGAAATTTAATCAATTTCATTAACAATTGTGAGCTAAAAAAATTGCCTATGCTGCAAGCTAGACTTACACGGTCAAACTTCCAAGTACCCAATCTGCTCCATGGTTGTCAAGGCATTGCCTAGGCGCCCTTGGTTGAGTGCCTTGCTTAAATGCCTTGACTTATAGCAACAAGGCACTTGCCTAGGTAACAAAAATCACAAGGTGGGTTAATTACTATGGACACTCTTACTAATATGTGTGTTTATGCATTATATTATATACTATATATGTCATTAATGCTTTGTTTGAAGATCTAATATTGAAATTTAAAAGATCCAAGGGTTTTGAGAAGAGAAAAAGAAAGAAGGATAAAGAATTTTATTTCTTTTGTTTTTTCTATTCTATCTCTCTTACATTAAATACGATAGTGGCTCCACCCTTGTTCTTTTCCTCTTTAACTTACTCTCTATCTTAATCTCTATCTTAATTTTTTATCATATAAAATTATAGCCTTCTTTAGTTGCTAATTTGATATGAAGTTGCTCTATTAAATACTTGTTACATTAGTATTATTTTTGAAAACATTGAAGTTAATAACATTTAAAATACTAGTCTTTTAGATATGATTATTTTCAATGTTTCTAGAGGAAATTTATTGTTCCTAATAAAGAGAATTTCTAATTTTTCAATTAATATGCATGCTAATTGGTATACAAAACTAGGGAACTATCCTTTTTTTTTTATTTTATAAAATTCTTATTGCCTAGGTGACTGACTAAGTGCCCCACTGTCGCCTAGAATGACCTAGACACCTTTATAGACCTGTCCATGGCTGGACTTGGGCCGGACTTTACTCTTATTAACAGAAAATGTTCAGGCTTGAGCCTGGCCCTACACCTTTACAATTATGATCTGCTTGAAGCTAGATCACTTTCCTTTTTTTAGTGGAAGAAATTGCAAGATGGAAGAGCTTTGAAGTGTGGAAGAAATTGAAAAAAGGAAGTTAAGGCTAAATGTAGAATAAGGAAGTGCTTGGATACACCAATGGTAACAGAAACTTGATTTTACCCTAAATTGAGGACTTAGACAAGTTAGAGGTAGCAAACAAGATGACAGAGGTGGAGAGAAATTAGGAGTGAAACTAAAACAAGAATTGGATTTCATCCTAAAGAGGGAGGAAATAAGTGGGAGGCTGAAATTAAGATGTAAGTGGATAAAAGTGGGAATAGGAACCTGAAATTCTTTCATTTATTTAACAAATGGAAGGAATGAGAAGAATTTTATCTCCAGACTAGTGCTAAATGAAGAAACTCAACAAGAGGAGATTGTAGGAGTGCTTGTGGGTCACTTGAAATCCCCATATGGCTCTCACCCCCTCCAAGAACTCTCGTGAAAAGATTCGATTGGCCATCTCTAGATAGGGACCTTGCAATGGAGATGGAGCCAGAGAAACCTTTTAACATGGAAGAACTGAAAAGCTAAGGTTAATGCTCCAGGGTTTGATGGCTTTTCTATGTATATTTTTCAAGAGCGTTGGGAGACTGTTGGAAGATCTGATGAAGGTTCTCAATGAATTTCATATAAGAATAGTTTTCTCCTCCTTGAAGCCTTTATGGAATATGGACTGATAATTGTGAATGCACTATAGCCAACCCAGTTTTATATGCACCACATCTTTGGGGGATTAATTTTCAGAGATGCAAGCAGCTTTCTCAGCCCATGCAAGTCAACATTTGACTTGACATGCTGAAAACAAATATAGAGTGCAGCTTGGGGTGCACCGGATAAAATAAAATAGGTTGAGGAAATGAGTTCAAAGAGTGGAACTGAAGGGGTAATACAAGAAAAAATGTGATTTACTCACTTTGGTTCATGGTGGCAAGGCAAACACAAGCCTGCACGAGATTACCATTCATCTACTAACCAACTTGATACTTACCCAACACTGCCATCTAACCCATAAATGTCACCTTGTTTAGAGCAGGAGGGTCCCATATTTTCTTTACGAGTCAAGGAGCCAAGATGATTCAGCTGCTTAAAAAATTATCTGAATTAAAATGTCATGTTCCTCCAATCTTCAATTGCCTATTGATATCTATTAAGGTCCAACTTGGTGTCCTTCATGGTAGTTGAGGCCCATGGAGGCACCATATCTGCACTCCTATAAACTACAATAGGTAAGGCCCATAAAGGGAAGGGGAAGAAAATGAATGGCATGCAAATATGCAGCAATTGGGACCTAAGCAAAGCCAGAGGGTGGAATATAAGAAAACTTGGCACAATCTGATGGTTATTGGATCAATATTGTTTTTTTTTTGATAAAAAAACTGTTAATCTTATCGATTATAAGAAAACTTTTTCTTAAAAAAAAAAGAATGTAAGAAAACTTAGGTGGCGTTTGACAACACTTTTTCAGAATTCGAGGCATTTGACATGGTCTTGTGTCTAACAATTTCAGATGCATTTTTAGAGGTGAAATAATAACAATAATAAGGGCAAATTTCTTAAAGTACCCCTAAGGTTTAGGAAATTGACTAACTCTACTGTTTACATATTGTCTTAAAGTATCCCCAAGTTTCCTGACAACTGTCATTGTGTTGTTAAATCCTAACGGAAATGATGAAATGTCAGTTTTACCCTTCAGTTAAATCTTGTCTTAAAAGATATCCATCACGGTCTACGGACCTATAATGGTTACCGCTACAACTTCCGACCAGCAGTGCGGTGGTGAAGAATAGTGAACCAAAACCGAATAATTTTTCTTCGACGGATACTTCTGTGACAAAGATAAATAAGAAAGATCGTAGCTCAGGTTCTCCTCCCTCCCTCCTCTCTATCTGAAAAAGAAGAAAGATCGCAGGAGAAACGAGAAAGCTTTGTCTGGAATCCATACTGGCTTAATGCAAATAAAATCTTTAGAAGATCCATTTGTCCGAATAAACCCTTCTGGTTTAAGCATCCTACAAACGTCAGAAGCAAACTCCAGAGGCCGAACTGGCTGGTCAAGCCCACCAGTGTCCGAGAACTCAAAATCGAAGGTATTTTCCTTGAACGGATGGCGAAATGCCTGACTAGATACTACCAACGGAGGGGATTTCTTCTTAGAGATTCTGATTGTGTCAGGAAGACCGACTTCCTTGGGCTCCATTTGGAAGGAGTACAAATACAAATATGTAGAGTGCAAAACCTTATATCTTGTATTATTTTGTATGGATTTGTACTGTACATATTTGTATTTGTACTCCTTCCAAACTAAGCCTTGATAGTGAAGACGTCTTGTTCACTCAGTTTTGATGCACAAGGCTTTAGACCCCATTGAGAGATAGCCTTGGGAAATCAGATCTTGGAAGATGGCGGAGTAGTAGTTGCTGGACTTGCGCCATTCTTTGCTGGTCCAGAGGTCACGGAGAGCTGTGTTGGAATAAGATCCGACGTTGTTGACAACGACGGAGGAGGCACCGATGCATATGGCATCGTTGCCGGCAAAGTTGAAGTTTTTTGGGAGCAGAGAAGAAGCAGAACTCAGCGGCATCACAAGATCTGCCCCTGATAGTGACAATGCATACAAATTGATGGAGGAAAATAAAAACACAAAAGAATATATATAGGCCACCTTGTAACCTATCAAGTGGGACCACAAGTAGGAGTTCATGTTGGAAACGGTTTTCTGTCATTTTCATCATTGCAAACTTTAAATCTGCAGTGGAAGCTTGGATCGGAGCCTGAATTGCAGAAATGAATTTGTGTTCTTGATTGATTTCTAGGCTTTTTTGTCACCTTATCTTCATTAAAAATGGGAGAGGATTGTTCTACGCAACTTATCGATGATGATGCGAATTCAATGCCCCTGGCCTTGAAAATTCATCAAAAATGTAAAGCTCATTGAATGCGGTGGCAGTGATCATGGGCCTGCAGAGCAGTGGTGTGTTCTGCAACAGCTTCAAAACTGAAGGTGCTTTTTCTGTTGGGTATTACGGGATCCAGTCAATGGTGATGGTATGACGAGAACACTTTGAGTTCTCCTCAACAAACTTCTTTAAAGCTTGAGCGTTCATACCAGCTTCAGCCTAAAAACAGAGCATCTTCATTAACCCAGAATCGCAAATCTGAGTGGAGATTACAAGTTTACAACAAGACTGGACTGCCATTTCTCCAAAGCTTTTGAACAGAAACAAAAGAAAATTCCTACAACCCCAGAAAAGGATTAAAGTTGTGAACTCTCAGGGGTTCCAATGCTTGAAGTTGTAGCTCCCCTCCTCTGTCCTCTCTGTAAATGGGTTCATACGAATTTTCAGATTTCTCCAATCCAAAAGGAAAAGAACAAAAAAGTAATTTAAGTAATCACCGAAAGGCTTGCAGAACTAGTTCTCTTTTGAAGCTTCTGTAGAGAGGCATGTTCTTATAGTTGCAGAGAGTGTGTAATAAATGAAAACCTGAGAAAGAATTTGTTTGAGTCTAGTGGGGTGGCGTCAACGTAGATCTCTGATGGGACGTAGGTCTTGGTCCAAGCTTCAGCAAGCCCAAATCGAAAGGGCATTTTTGACCACAAAAGGGTATCCTTGAAATTTCCAAAAAATATCAGTCACGTGATATCACATCTGAACAGGGTGCGACGGGAAGTTAACGGCAGGGGAGGTTTTAGACAGTTGTCAGAAAACTTGGGGGTACTTTAAGACAATGTAAACAACTACAACAACAATAAGAATAAGAATAACAATAATAATAATATTATTATTTTTATTAATTTTAATATTATCAAATATTCTATTTCCGGGGGTAAAATAGTAAATTTCCAGTTTCAGACAGTTGAAGAATTGCTCCAACTCAAACGATCTTATATCTAAGTCTCTAAAAAGCAGAAAATCATTCCTGCTTCTTTTCAGATTTCAGACCCGAATAATAGCTTTTTGGCTTTTCAGACATCATACTTCAGATTTATCATATACCACCTTATGCTTAGAACATTAGAAAAATATTTTATCCTGACTGAAAATATAGTTATATTGTTGTAAAAATATTATAGCATGCTCCTTGTCTGAAAATAACCAGTACTTACTGTATCTTGAGATTTGGAGTTTGTTAAGATCCTTCTAGATCTTCATCACCCCTATGCAAGGATCAGAATTCGTAATGTATCAGCCGATTTGTATCGTATCGGGGGTCGACCGGTTTCAGGGGGTAGACAGGCCTTATACCGACCCCCCTGAACAGGTTTGAAAAAAAAAACTAAAAAAAATTGCCCAAAGATATTTAGAACCTTGTATATATGCTTTATCTGATAAATAAATTATTTAGAGTGTTGATGGTAGCATTGTACATGGACAGCATCAATTTGTGATTTTCTGGCATGCAGTTCAGTCATTTCTAATTTCTGCATGAGAATTGGAGTGTAAATGGATTTTAGTTTTTTTCTGTGAACTTCAGTAATTGCTTGTTCTTGTTTTTAGCTATGTTCTTTGGCAAGTATTTGTTCCATGATATTTGGATCTACATGGCTGGGCATCTGACTTGGTTTTGTGTTATTCTTCCATGATTTTATCTCCTTGGAATTTTGATGATTTTTATATTTTGTTGAGTACTGGCTAAAGTTTTATTAAATTGGATTTACAAAATAGTGTAAATGATGAACAGTTCAAAAGACAATGGGGTGAAAAATCATTTCGATTTCTGCTTTTGGTGTATGGCATTCATACATTGTACACAATTCCTCATGGTTCTTTAACCATGCGTTGATGATGTATTCCTACAGGGTATACCACATTTTGATGTAATACAATACAATCTTCTTCTTTTTTTCATTTATAAAAAGGAATTATTTAGTTTTATTATAAGGCTTTGTAGTTCATCTTTTGGCATTCAATGTTTTCTCATCTCCGTTGCACTGAACCCCATATTCCCATTGGAAATGCTTTAGTGCTCATGCATAGGCTCATTAAAGATGATGTACACTTGATTAATGAACAGGAAGACAGTGAGAAGACTGGTAGGGTAACATCTGCCGGAATGTATTTCCTACATTTTCAAGTATACCGAATGGATTCAACTGTTAATGCGGTATATGACTTTCATAATTTTTTTGCATCATTACTAGAGAATTTTAATGTTGTGATGATTAATTAACTAGTGGGTTTGACCTTGTCTTAGCAGTTAGCAATGGCTAAAGACCCAGAAGCTGCTTTCTTCAGAAGATTGGAAGGTCTCCAACCTTGTGAAGTCACGGAACTAAAATCTGGAACTCACATATTTGCCGTTTATGGTCTGAACCTGTTATCATGTGATTTGATCCTTTAGTTTCTGGGTCTAATTCAAATTGTTTACAAAATCTGTTGACCTTTATTCAAATTTCTTCAGGAGATAACTTTTTCAAGACTGCTACCTATACAATTGAGGCACTTTGCGCAAGATCATTTGAAGATACCACAGAGAAGCTTAAGGATATTGAGGCTCAAATTTTAAGGAAGAGAAACGAGCTACGACAATTTGAGATAGAATACAGAAAAGTATGGCCTCAGCCTGGAGTAGGTGAAAGTAGTAATGCATTATCAATTCTCTAATCCTTTTGCTTATGGAATTTTGTAGGCATTGGCACGCTACCAAGAAGTGACCAACAGATGCAACCAAGAAAAGCAATCTGTATGTTTTGTCTGCACATTCTATGTTATTTGCATATGTTATTAAAGCGAACTGCGCTTATACCCTTTCTAATATATTGTGCACGGATACTTTTTATTCTTCAAGTTTTCATCGAAGCTATAACTGCCCATGAAAGCTTCAAGTTGATGTGAAGAATGCCTTTCTCTTCCAAGTTATGCCCATAAGAGGCATACATTCTCCCTCGTTTACTCCAGATTTCTGATTAGGCAGCAACTTAAACTTGTGATTCGACTTCTTGGCTTAATTTGAATGTCAGAGGTAGTGCACCAACCAGCATAATATTCTTCATATCATGCTTACACTGCGATTCCTCAAGTTCAGTTTTTTTTAGCAGTTTTTTATCATTAAAAAATGAATTGAGAAACATAGTTACACAGAAAGACAAAGACAACAATTTCTATTCTTTTAACATTTTCACCTGACCTTGTTGCAACCAACAAGAATGGTGGTAGCATGATTGTACTTCTGAAGATGGATTTCATACTCACAATATGTTAGTCACAGTTTCCTTTTTCCACATTTTGTTAAGCAAAGGTTTAAACCTTGTCTCTGTTAGAACCTTTTATCCTTGGTTTCTGTATTTTTTCTGTTGCATCCTAATTGAACATCTTTTTTCTCTTGATTCCTTCTTTCAACTATTAACATGGCTATTGGATTTTATATATAATCCAGTCTGTTGTGTTGCTTCTTTTGCTTGTGGCAACCCCGTCCTTTGGGATTGCTTCTTTATTTGTTTTTGTATACATCCGAGCATTCTTTTTTTTTTTTTTTTGACCAGCAACACCATGAAAAACTTTATTTGATATAGAAAAGAGAAACAACACCAACATTCCAGAGAAGGTTGATATTTATTCACAAATGATACATAACAGTTTTACAACTTTATCTCATGACCAGGTTTCCTAGTTCCATCTCTTCCATTGTAGCCCCTCTTGTTTCTGTAATAGCATAGCCATTTGCTGATCCTGGGATCTACCTGAATGAGAAGTTCATGTTGGATGCCAGGGTCTTTGCTTCTCTTAATAAAATATGCAAAGGGGCAAGGGGCCATCAACCTCTGAGAGGAACTGGCTAATTACCACCTTTGCAGTGTCATTCCATAATCAGTCTATTCTAGTTTGCAGAATAGGCATCTAAATGTTGGAGAAGAGGAAGAAGTTCATTTGCCCAATGGACATAATGACTGAGTATGATGTTTTTATTTTTCTCCCTAAATATGCTTGCCTATACCCAAGGCCATTGGTTTCTGTTTTGGAATGGTAGAATACTGATATGTTTCATTCTATTGCCAATGGGCATATTTATACAGTAAGCTGCTGCAATAAATAGAAAGAAAGAAAAATAGAAAGAAAAGAGAATAGAAAGAAGAAAAAATAGAAAAAAGAGAAAATAGAAAGTACAAAAATAGAAATAAAGAAATAGAAAGAAAAAACTTTCTAAATCAATCTTTCCACAATCCTGGGAATATATACAATTCTATTTTCAGATCTGAACCAATAACCCCACGTTTTCCAACACTCCCCCTCAAGCTGGTGAATAGAGATCCTCCATTCCCAGCTTGGCTATAATTCTCCGAAAGTCTGTACTATTGAGCCCTTTAGTAAGTACATCCGCCAGTTGTCCTTTTGTAGACACATAG